GTTTAGGGTTAGGGTTTCGGGTTCTAGGCGTTAGGGTCTTCAGGCTAAGGGTGTTGGGTTTGGCTCAAGGCCCCAGTGTCCCAAACCGCTTGCATCCCTAGAGAAGGTTGAGGGCTTAGGATTTCGGGTTTAGGGTTGAGGGCTTAGGATTTAGGGTTTAGGGTTTAGGATTTCGGGTTTAGGGTTTAGGATTTAGGATTTCGGGCTTAGGGTTTAGGATTTCGGATTTAGGGTTTAGGGTTTAGGGTCCTATGGAAGATCCCAACGACGATTTAAAAGAAGTTCGAAGGATATTCCGAATATTCCGTCGACATGCTTGAAAGCTTAAGGGTTAGATGTCATCCGAATCCCACTGTCCTGCTGGCGGCTCCCTTGCATTCCCCGGCGCCTGCTTAGTCATGTCGCGCATGTTTGGGGTTTAGGGTTTCGGTAGTTCTCTAATTACAGTCACTAAACCCTAAACCCTGAACCATAAACCCTAAACCCTAAACCCTAAATCCTAAACCCTAAACCCTAAACCGTTTCCTGTAGAGTCCTTCAGAACGATACTATTCTGGGGACCGAATCTGGCTCTGCGAGGCTGCTGTTAAAGGAGCCTACATTCAAGCTCCAGGAAGGCTTGAGGACGGAAAAACGCTGCACCCTGAACTGGCTAATGTAGAAGCCTTCATAATTAGAATAGGGTTTATAGGGTTTAGGATTACAATAGGGAACCCCCAAATAGTGTAGGTAATTATTATTTACGGCCCCTATAGTATACCCCAACACCAGGCCCGAAAAATCCTGGACAAGCCTACTTAGGAGTGCCACGAAAGATTACAGAAAGTTGTTCTAAAAGGTTACAGAAGGTATGAGGCTTTAGTGCTTTTAGGGCCTAGGGTTTACAGCTGAGACTTAAGATGTCGGGATTGAGGGCTGAGGGATTCAGATAAATGCAGACCCGTGGTTCATCCGCCGCCCCCCTATCCTAAAGTGGAATACATTAATAGGGTCTAACATTGGGGGTGG